CGGAAGCTGGAATGCAAACACATGTGGGGGGTTTTTCTTTTCCTTATATCCGAAGCTGGGTGTTTGATTTGGTATTCCGTTATTTTATCTTTCCCTGTGCATAGGTGTATCCAGCAGCAGCAGCAGCAGCAGCTGCTGGTAATGATATCCCACGAATTATACAGACAAACCTGGTGTTTGAGTCGAATTTCAAGGGAACAGCAAAGGAATTTAAGTTATGGAGGTCAAAGCTGGATTCAACAGGACCAGGAAAAATATTTGACTTGGGGAAACAAGCATTTTTGTTTTTGGAGGAGAGAGAGAGAGAGAGAAATTAGATAAAATTTTTAATGGTGATATTCTGGGCCTTGGATGGATTCTTGAATCAGATGACAGAATGCTCAACCTTGAAGTAAGGGTTTCCTTGCCCAATCAGTCTTTCACTTCATTTCAAAACACATTGTTAATGCTCTTCTAATAGTAGTTTGTAATAGTCCTCTGAAAATTGGAGATAACATTTGAGAGGAACATTCTTTTAATTAGAGATGGTTTGGATTCATTGTTTTTAAGGGAATTAGGAATGGGATTTGACCAACAGTTGACTTGGGAAGGTATTCAAACATGGCAGGGAGGTTCAGGTATTCAAGGTTCAGCTGAATACAAGTCTGCAGGCAACCCTCTAAATACAGTGTGAAACTCAAGTCAAATTTGAAGGGACTCCAAAATAACTAAGATACTTTAAATTTGGGAATTTTGAGTTTCTGGGATGAGTGTTACAATTTATGTGACCAGAAGACCGTAGGAATTTGACCAAGGAATGTTTTACAAATCAAATTCCAGTCAAGGAGATATTGATGGCAATGAAATTAATTTGCCAGAGTTTAACTGAAGATTTGAATTTAAGAGGTTTTGTACTTGGTGAGGCTTGACTTTCCATGGTAAAATTGCATCATTTTTAAAGGAAATAATATTATATGACAGCATGATTTGTTGCCAAAAGATTCGGTTGTGTGCTTGATAACATGAAATAGAAAGCTTTATACTTGTCTAACAACATAGGGGACCACCAATGCACCAAGAGAATATTTCGCATAGTGATACCATAGAATTAACATTCCAACATTGCTTTTGGACACCTAACTTACGAAGCTTTGATTATTTGTCGGAATAATAATATGATTATTTGTCTGAATAATAATATGATTATTTGTCTGAATAATAATATGATTACTGTATTTGTCTGAATAATAATATGATTATTTGTCTGAATAATAATATGATTATTTGTCTGAATAATAATATGATTATTTGTCTGAATAATAATATGATTATTTGTCTGAATAATAATATGATTATTTGTCTGAATAATAATATGATTATTTGT